GTAACCCAACTAGTATATGTATATATATATGTTTGTGTGTGTGTGTGTGCGTGTGTGTGTATATATTATCTCACAATTTTCTAGACTTGTTGTCGGTTACCTTATCATTTAAAATTATCAACTAATTATCTATAAATAAATTATTTTAGATTTAATTAACTAATGTTTGTTTAACAAATCTTTCTGATTTTCAAGAGAAATACATACCACTTTGGCGAATAATTATTAATATATTATGACAAGTTATTATGGAATGTGCTAAATTGTGATAATCTTATCACCTTGATTTTATAATAAATCAACCTAAAATTCGACTTAAATACCCATTCCAAATAAAATTCATACTACTTGTTTTATTTTCAAAATCTCCAATTACAATTCGATCCATACCAAAAATAAATCTCTTACCATTTAAATTAGGGTATTTCGTATCAAGATAAAATCGCCCAATTTATATCATGAATTTGGTTATTTATTAATAGCAACACAATTCAAACCAAAAAAAAATAGAAAATTTCACTTAGATACCTCAAATAAAATAGCTCACTTTATGCCAAACCTTTATTTATTAATATTGTTAATTTTATACCAAATTGGTTAATTAATTTCTAGAGGCGAAATTTTTAAAAAAAAATTTAAAAAAGATTACCAAGTTTAGTAATTTTAAATTTTGTTGACGGGATTTTAATTTTTATTTTAAGTAGATACAAATTTATGTATATCAAACACATTAATTGAAAAACTTGTTTAATTCTTTTCCCATATTCATTCCATTATTCGACTCATTCTATTCCTATTAAATTTCATTTCATTATACCAATCTACAATTAGTGTTTATAATGATATGAATTCGAAAAAATATAGGAATCTTCAAAACATAGGAACTTTTCTAAATTCATAATTGTTTGATTCAGTCATTATAAAAAATGATTGTGCTTATCAAATGGAATCCGTTTTTACTCATAAAATATTATAACAATTGTTTTAGTTTGCAAGCCCATAAATGTCGTGTTTATCACCTTTAATCCGATTTTAACCTACAAAAATTTTATCTATATATTTATTTATTAAATAACTTATTAATATTATAAGCGTAACATTAATTCATATAAAACTTTTAATTATTTATGTTATAACCAATCCAAATTATTTTAAATTTTAAATATATAGTAATCAAGTAATAGTTGGGATCTAAAATAAACTTGAAGCAAATAATAGTTGGGATTTTCAATAAAACGTACGCAAATAATAGTTGAAATTTAAAATGAATTATAATGAATAAAATATTATTACAAATAGTTGGGACTCTAAGAATAACTAGAATAAATGAAATTATAGGGCTTATATTCATATTATCATTTAAGGTTTGATTAATCGATTAGTTTCTGAATTTTGTAGTTATCTATTTGTAAACAACTATTAGTATTGTGGATAGTGTGGATTAAAAAAATCACAAAAAATTTGGTATCTAATATAAATTCAAATTTCGTTTGAATGTTGTGTTGATGTTAATTTCCATTTTTTTGGAGTAAAATCATATTACGTATGTCTTGAATTATTGATGATCTTTTTCTTTTCAGTATTATTAATTATATCTGTCGTCATTGTTATTTATTTCCAAACATAATTTGTAAATCAAATCCATTTCGCAAATATTAATTATGATTTTATATTCAAACATGGTTTGCAAAACAAACTAGATTTAAATCTTATTCTAAATTATTGAAATTTAATCCGCAAATCTAAACGGTACCCACGAATTTAGGATTTAGGTGATATGTACAAATATATTCCAAATGTGTGATAAAGTTAATCCGCAAAACCAAATTTCATGGACGGGTTTTTTGAAGAAAAGAAAAATCAAAATAAATTTCCATAAAGGGTAAAAATCGAAAAAAAAGTGGGAAAATGACTTCCACTTTGATTTTTTTTTTCTTAATTGTATTATATAGTAATAGATGTGCATATAATCTTACTTTCTAAATTTTTTGCTTTGTCCATATTATTTCTTTATGTGTTTTAAATTAAAATATTATAAGTGGTTATGTAAATTAGTTTTCAAAATTTAAAATAATATTTTTAATTCACTTAATTCTTTATTATAGACTGTTATATATTAGTTTTTATCTATATTTTCAACTTCAAAAAATATATACATTTTTTTTTTCATTTTTTGTTGTACGCTTAATTATTTTATCAACACCCGTGTAGTACACGAATATTGTACTAATATAGATATACTCTCAAATCAGATGCTTTTCCATCTTCCATCATGTGTGCATACTGTAAACAATCTACAAAGTATAACAAACCCGAACCTGAATTTAAATTTAACAATAAATAAATAAATAAAAACTTGACTGAATCCCATATATTGTTTAAACATATGTTGCTTTTCATTTATAACTAGTATAACGTCCGTGTATTACACGGGTGCTTTGTTAAATTTTTTCTTAAAATTTAAAATTAATAAAGTTCTTAAAATTTTATTACTATTTATAAAAAATATAAATTATTATATATTTTCAAAAGGCATTTATTACTTGTATGACTTATATGTGTTATATTATAATATTTTTTAACTTATAACATATAACTATTTTAAACATGAATATATTAACTGAGAAATAATTTATTTTTCTAATTGATATTAATAAATAATTTTATATATTTATACAGATAAATTATAATTTATTTACTTTATACATACAATATGGATGTCAATTCGAAGCTCATCAAATATGATTAATTTGATATATTATATATGTAAACGGATAAGAAATTCAAAAGTTATCAACTTTTAAAATACATTTACAAGTGAATGGTTTATAATAGGAAAATATTAAAATAAAATTAATAAATCTAAAATGATCATAAGTAATCAATATATTTATGGTAATTCAGATTTAATTATTTTTAAATTGTAATTAAATTAAAATTTATCCAAACAATATTGACATATAAGATCCCGAAACATGTTCCGGAAACAAAAAAAAAAGGGGGCAGCACGTCACTCGCGTTAGCTGCCATATGATGATGGCAATTTACTTTCTATACGACGTCGTTTTCGTGAGTCTCTTCGTCACCTAATCGAGCTCTTGCCTCTCTCTCTTTTTCTAGAGAGAGAAAGCACTGTTTCAGAGGTATCGGATCTTGTCTCTCAGGCATCCTCTGCAAGTGAGACTTTTTTCTATTTTTTCACAAGAATGCTTAGCATAAATTTAGACAGTGGATTATCTCGGATAATTATCTCGGATAATTTCCTTATCCCTTTTGTCAAATTATTTTCTTAATTTACAATGTTATCGCTTTTCGTTTTCTGGGTTTTTTTTTTTATTATCTTTTGATCTTTGAAATTGTGTTGATTTTGCGATTCTCTCTCTCTCTCTCTGTGTGTGTGTGTGTGTGTGTGTGTGTGTGTGTGTGTGTGTCAATTTGTGCTTTGTCTTGAATCGAATCGTTAGCCTTTTGCTGTTCATGTTTGCGAATGATTCGTGCAAAATGTAGATGGAGAAGGAATTTGCTCTCAACGTATGTGCTTTTCCATTGGTATTTGTCTCCCGAATCTTGGATTCAGCTTGGTTTAGAGAGGGCCTACGACATAAGCTATCTGAAAATTTTGTTCTTTCACAAGAAATAGTGCTTATTCTTATAGTTACAAGAACAAGTTCTGATCTTTTTTTTTTCTTTTTTTTTTTTTTTTGTTCTTTGAGCACTTGTATTTGAAATTCTGGGGCTTTTAGTTCTGTAATTTTAAGATTGTCTCTGTTTCTGATTGAAAATGCCGTTTGTTGAGTTCGTTTCGAAAATGAGGCCATGAACCCTTTCGAAAATCTTGGAAATGTTGAGTTTGGCATGAGTGTGTCTGCCCTTTTTCTATTTGAAACCTCCCGGATCCTTGTTCTGATATTGATAGTAAGCTATTGTAGCTGAAAGTATAGTTCTTGAGCTATGTTCATGTGGTTTTCGTCTAGGTGATAAAAAAAAGGCAGAAGATGCGGTCTTCTCTTTTTACCACTTATGAGCCATGTGAGATGAAAGTCTCATGCACGGTTTCCGAATTAGAGAAAAAGAAGTGAGGAATACACTTTTCGACTCGTCGATTCTTTCCTTTCTGTTACTTTGTATATTTCCAGCCTGTTTATATAAATCTTCAATATCTATCTCTGATGTTTAAGCCTTAACGGATACACCAAATATTCTTGTCCTACTTAATTATCTGTAAGCACAAAGGGAAAAAAAGGGCATCTCATTTGTAGTTTGTGTTTCAGGCAAATAGAAATGTAATCATTGTTCATGTAGTATTTCTGGGTTAAATGCCTCTGCTTTATGTGTCTTTACGAGTTGTTTGTATCGGCAAGCAAGTCCCACAAGGTCTTAAGCACATGATCTCCTTTCATTTTGGTTTAATTTGTGCAGGTTGATCAAAAATAGCCATACGGTCATCAGTATAAGTGTAACCAGTCATGGGATCCGGAAAGGATATTGTTGATCTTTCGGATCCTATTGTATCAGAAAGGGAAAATTTCTACCTTTCTGGACCTCTGCACCTGACGACAGTCGATTGGTAAGAACTCACAAACTCCAGTGATTTCTAATTGCTCACAAGCACCGTCTTTCTCTCAAGCTGGAAATGGCTATTGATTTATTTCTCTCAGGGGAGTGTATTCTTTTGGGATTTCGAGTGACATTGAGACTTTCTGAGATTTGACTTTTTAAGGTTTTCAGAAATCATGTGAAATTTTAAGGGGTGTGTATTTTAGTTAGGACTTGCTTTATGTGTCTTTACGAGTTGTGGGATTTCATATATGTTTTTTTCTTTTGAAATCCCAACAAATCTTAAAAAGTCTTGACAAATTATAGTCTCAGATAAGTTAAATACCTCAAGATTTAGTAAGACTTTTTAAGATGAATACCGCAAGAGTTTTAATGGTCTTAAAAAATCTGAATTAAACACACTAGGATTTCTTAAGTCTTGAAAAGTATTCAGAAGGTCTAAATTCTTGGATTTGGATCCAAAGAAACATCCAGTAGCTCTCGTAACAAAATTATTGAAATTTCACTGAAATAATACTCGAAATTAAGAAAGCCGATGATAATCGATTTCCTCTCAAAACACAGGTCGAATCCCGACCACCGGAGATCGATCACCGCTTGCCTTGTCCAGTCCGTCTACATCCTCGAACGCGACCGGCAGGAAAACCGGACTGGGGCCCACGCCCTCGCCCCTCCTTGGTTCGAAACCTTTGGCTTCCAGCTGTACCGCCAGCTCATTGACGACACCGACTCCTCCATATTTGGCGCCATTTTCCGCCTCGACTACCACCCCACCTCCGCCTTCCACCCCTCTGCCCCCCGCCACGTCCTCGCCTTCCGAGGCACAATCACCAAAGGGAACGCGTTCACGCGCGACCTCGAGCTCGACATCCACATCGTCAGAAACGGGCTCCACCACACGTCTCGTTTCGAGACGGCCATACAAGCCGTCCGCCACGTCATCTCGACTTTCGGGAGCTCCGGCGTATGGCTCGCCGGCCACTCCCTTGGGGCCGCCATGGCACTTCTCGCCGGAAAAAACACGGCCAAGACCGGAGCTTTCCTCGATGCCTTCCTTTTCAACCCTCCGTTCTTTTCAGCACCGATCGAGACCATCAAGGACAAAAAGGTGAAGCACGGGATACGTTTCGCGGGGAGCGTGATCACGGCCGGGTTAGCCTTCGCAATGAAAAACAACATAGTCAATACGAATCATAATAACAATGGTAATAATCGTAATAATAGTTTCGAGGCTTTGGTCGGGTGGTTTCCGGGGATTTTTGTGAACCCGTCGGACCACATATGCTCGGAATACATGGGGTACTTCGAGCATCGGGAAAGGATGGAGGAGATTGGTGTTGGGAATATCGAGCGGCTGGCGACACAGCACTCGATCGGGGGATTGCTGTTGAGTGCGGTAGGAAAAAGGCCGGTGGAGGAGCCTCTTCACCTGTTGCCATCGGCTATTTTGTCGGTTAACCGGAATCCGGCGAGGGACTTTAAGGATGCACATGGGATTCATCAGTGGTGGAGGGAGAGCCTGTCCTTGGAGACCAAAAGGTACAGCTATAGATGAAGAGATTATGAAGTGCTGCTTATTGTTTCTTTTTTTTTTATTTGTTTAAGGTTGGATGCACATGGGATTCATCAGTGGTGGGTTAAGATTTTGTTGTTTGGTGTGAGGACTTTTGTGATCTGTGATGTATTGGGCTTTGGTGTTGGGAAGGCCCAAAAATGTAATGGTAGATGCATAAGTCCATTTTGAAAACCTGTGCGTTGGTCAGCTGAACAATGCATTTTAAAATAAGTTTCAGGGCTATTTTTTTATGCGAGTCTTCTTTTCATGAAGACAAATTATTATTAGTAAACACTATGAACAGAAATTGCGGGCCGCCCACATGAATGCGGGCCCTCTTCTTTTGATTAATTTGCGCATTTCCCGCTATTTTTAAACCAGAAATTCTCCACTAAAGGAGACCAAAAATCCCTTTTACCTTAAAAGGAGTGCCATTGTTATTTAGCTTTCACACAGCTGCTCTTATGTTCTATTCTAATTGTCCTTCACTTTTTGTTTCAATAGGATGAAATGTTATAAACTTAAATGAGTTGCTCTTAGCTAATATGAATTTTTACGTATTTTTTTTTCTAAATCTTAATTTAGCCTAGCTCGTTAAAGCTCGATAACATTGACAAACAAGTCGAGGTGAGTTCGCTTGGTTAACAAACCGAGATTTGTTCGATAGAAGCTCGAACATTTATAACACATCCATTAGAAGCATAGCATTCAATTAATTTGATAATAAGCAAATAATTTTAACATTTTTGGGGAGGAAGCAAATATCATTTCACTAAGAAAACAAAGTAGAAAACACCCTTCTTTTGTACACTTTCTAGTGAGATTTTTTGGGGAAAAAAGGACCAAAACATAATTAGCAAAACAAATTTAAGAAATTTAACAGTGGAAGCCCAAGACAGACCCATCGCCGACGGCGATGGAGACCCGACAGTCGGCCCGAACCTCCAAGTGGTGCGTGAAGAAGTGCAAGACCCGAACACGGCCCGTCATCTCCATAACCGACTCTACCTCCAGACTCGGCCCGACCCGGAACCCGTCGAGCCCGTCCGTTACGCTCGGTACGACGCTTTCGGGCCGGGCGGGGGCGGGGGCGGTGCCGCCGGCGAGGGGGAACGGCTGGACGGAGAAGGTGGAGGCCATGAAGCGGGTACGTCCGGCGTCGACTTTTCCGGCGGGTATGAACATGAGGCCGACCTGGACGCCGGCGTGGAGGAGGCGGAGGGAGCTGTCGTAGTGGGTGAAGGCGGCGTGGTTGGGGTTGGTGAGGGTGGCGTACTGGGAGAAGGTGAAGCCGACGGTGGCGTTGGCGGCGGAGAAGGACGGGATCTGGACGGCGTTGACGGCGAGGATGGGAGGCTTGGGCTTGAAGACGGTGAAGAAGGCGATGAGGGCGACAATGACGATGAAGATGAGGAAGACGGTGGCGACTATGCAGGAGGCGAGGTTGGTCCGGCCGGTAGGCGGCGGCTTGTACGGCGGCCGGGATTTCACCATTTTCTTGATTTTTAGTTGTATGTGTGTGTGTTCGAATTGAGTGTGATGTGTGGGGATTGTGAGTGAAGAAGTGTGTTTTTTGAGTGAGGAAATTAAAATTGGTGAGAGAAAATGAGGAGGCTTTGTTTGTTTGTTGGGCTGCTTTTCGTGTGGTAATTTTGGTCAATGTCACATTTTTTACTTTTTTTTAAATATACTATTGGGAGATGTTACAGTCCGTTACAGATCTATTCTCGTCAAAATTTTTAACTGTTAAATCAACTATCCCCAACGGTTACAAACCCAATGAAATATTTTTGTAACATGACCGTAGCATTTTTTCTATACTATTTTGTTTAAAAGAATCTTGCGAGAGGACGAATTGAGTAATTATTAGGTCACCATAATCTCGGATAATAGTTAATTATTTCTCTTATTGGGATGGTCCGACCCGGCCCGTTTTGAGCTCCAGGATCTTTCAAGCTCATTAAACATGAGCCAAGCCCATAAAATTTATCCCATTCGAAATATAGGAGAATTTTTATTTATACTACATGATTTAGAAAAAAATTATAATTTTACCAGGGATCAAATTTTATTTGCAAGTTTACCAATGTCATGTTAATTAATTATACATATACACTACAGCAGAATATTTTCAGTTACCATATTTAGTGTAACCACCTCCTCAAATGATGGGATTTTCAGTTACGGTATATTGCATGTCAATTTTTTTCCATCCCAATTCCACGCAGTATATATTGCGTCTATATTCAGTATATAAACTAATTAATATATCCGAAAAACAAGTATTGTCTTCGTTTTGAAACTGGTTTATGTATATATGTAGTATATTTTCTGGGCTTTTTTCCGATCTGATGTTTATATATATACTAGTTGTCTTACGCCGTGCACGCACGGCGGACCCAAATTTAGTCTAAAAATATATTGAAAATTTGTCATCACTTGTAATGAGCAGTCAAATAAAACTCGTCCCTAGCGTTGTGTTTCGACATCGCTTGAAAAGCTATAAATTAAGCGTAATAGGAAAAAAAAAACATGCAACTAATGTGTATCATTTGATTTGTACTAACATTAAATGTCAAAAAACAGCTCATAATACAATTTCATCTTATGTTTGGATACGGAAACAATAAAAGAGTACAAGGTTCAATGAATAAAAGAAAAATTGCTGTAGATTTAAATATAAGCTACTAAAAATTTAAAGAAAACTCATTTAGATTCCCTAATCCGAAGCTTTGTACCATGTGACAATTGTTTGAACTAACCTCAAACAATAAAAGTAAGCAGTTGCAACACATTAGGTGCTATCAAAGATTTTCTAAGTAAATATAAGTAAATTCAGTAAGTATCAAAACCATCAATAAAATATGGCACTCATTAAAATTGTCTAGACCTAACTAATGCA